AGTAAGGAAAGAATGGACTTTTTTTTCACAACACAATCCACACTAATGTACCCAGTTGAATTACCCGGTTGAATTACCCGGTTGAATAACCCAGCTGAAGTCCATGGTTGAAATACCCTGGTTGAATTACCCGGTTGAATCACCCAGTTCAATTACTCCGGTTGAATTACCTAGTTGAATTACCCAGTTGAATTACCTAGTTGAATTACACAGTTGAATTACACAGTTGAATTACAAGGCTGAATTACCCAGTTGAATTACAAGGCTGAATTACCCGGTTGAATTGCCCGACTTTCTTCCCAGCTCCCGCGGCCGGGCCCCAGCCTCTCTCTCCCTGCATGCACTCGCAATCAAAGCTCACTCAGCCTCCCTGCCCAAACCTCACTACAGGAACCTTTCCTCCCGACCCGCAGTGGCCTTACCTGGTGGGTCTCCTGCCACCCTTGGTTGTCACAGGCTCCTATCACAGCGTAGTCGTGCAGCAGAGCCTCGCACAGCAGCGGATCCGTGTTGTGTGTTACAGAGTAGTAAAGTGGGGTCAGGCCACGCGAGTCACGGTAATTGGGAGATGCACCCAAGTCTGCAATAAAGGTCAAAGGAAGAGGTTGAGAGGGGGTTGCATCATCGCAACTTCAGCGCCATTCATATACACCCCCAATAATTCATACATCTTCATCTCCGATCCACGCCATTTCCTTAATATACATCACCCGACAAGAGGCGCGAGAACCCTCCCCTGAAATACCCTGCCGGAGGACTTACCCAGAAGCGTCTTGACGGCCTCGAAGTTGTTAGCCTGGACCGCCCTGTGCATCGCCGTCACTCCGTCCTTGGTGCGGTAGTCGAGGAGCGCCCCGCCGTTCACGATGCTCATGACCATCTTGGCCGGTTTCTTAATCCTCGCTGCCAGGGACAAGGGCGTTTCTGTGGGCGGGGGAGAAGGTGGTTAGTTAAGGCGAAAGGTTCCTTCTGATACGGGTATTCTCACTGGGAGCCATTTTGCATGAGAAGAGAGAAGGGAAAAGAGAGTGGGTTTCTTAATTCTCGCTGCCAGGGACAAGGGCGTTTCTGTGGGCGGGGGAGAGGGTTGGTTAGTTAGAGCGACGTGTGCTTTTTGATAATGGCTCTGAAGCACCGGTAGTTTCACTCATAGCCCTTTTAGTTGAATTATGTGGGATACGAAGGAAGTTTTTTTTTTACAGGTTACATAAATTAGTGCCGTTTTTTCTCGATTTCCTTTTAATCCTTCAAATATATTTCAAACTACTGGAAATTTATACACTTCCATAAATGAAAAATCCAGTCGCGTAACAAACATCACTACCCCAGAGAAGAAGAAAAAATTATATATTAAAAGAATGAGAGACACGGTGTGCAGAGATAAGAATCGACGATTAAAAGATAAGAAAGAGAGTATCAACTTTTTTTTTTCTTTCTTGTCCATTAAGTAATTTCTTCATTTGTACGAAACATTTCTCTCAAAATGATTTTCGCGCCAAATTTCTCCTGTAATTACAATCATTGAATAAAAAATCTCAAATGTGACAACAATGAGAAAGAGAGAGAGAGAGAGAGAGAGAGAGAGAGAGAGAGAGAGAGAGAGAGAGAGAGAGAGAGAGAGAGAGAAGAGAGAAGAGAGAAGAGAGAGAGAGAGAAGAGAGAAACTAACTGATCAAGAGAAAGAACCTTTATTGATTTTGTCCACGGTTAGAATTCATATTTCCTTCCCATTTGCCGATGTGAAGACCGTCCCTAATTAACAGCAAAATTACAGAAGTTAATTGACCTAAGAACCAATTTCCCCGCAGCTTCCCGGGCGGCGCTCTCGGCTGCCTCCCGGACCAGAGACAGATTCGGCGCCGCTCGACTCCGCTATTTTTTTTTTTTTTTCACACTTGCGCACATAAACACACATAATATAATGTAATGTAACATAATTAACTTTGCTTCGAACATAAATACATACATACTTACAGACATATATACGTGAAAAAAATATATATGAATATGTGTGTGTGTGTGTGTGTGTGTGTGTGTGTGTGTGTGTGTGTGTGTGTGTGTGTGTGTGTGCTGTGCGTGCGCGTGCACTCTCTCTCTCTCTCTCTCTCTCTCTCTCTCTCTCTCTCTCTCTCTCTCTCTCTCTCTCTCTCTCTCTCTCTCTCTCTCTCTCTCTCTCTCTCTCTCTCACTCACACACACACACACGTCTGACCCAAGAAGAGCATTGTCCCCAACACCTTCACCCGCGACACACCCACCATATAAAGGAAAAAGAGGAAATGCCCGAAAATAACACGTGACCCGCCAACGTGCGAAATTAATACCCATCCAAAGGTCGAGCAAAGGTCACTTCATCCGTTGACCTTAAGTCCGCACCTTTTTTCGTCTCCCTTTCCCCGTTTCCTCCTCCGTTTAGCGTCATTCATTTGCTCCTGTTTACTCCCGTTATCCATTCTTGCAATCTCTGTCGTTCCGTTATTTCTACGGGATTCTTCTCTTTC